ATATGTACAAGCTGATAGGGACAAAGTTTTGGTTGAGATGAAAACCAAGTTATCTCTGAGCTGATTGCTGAATCTGGTGGCCACCTCAATTGCTGAGATCAGCAACTAGTTAATAGTTTCGTGGGGGAGGGGCATGGAGTCACAAACCCCAGGAATTCCCAACTGATTTTATGTGACAAAAGGTGCCACTGTTAACCCTGGAGATAGCACCTCTGTAGTTACCTTATTCCTCCGTGGGGCCCTGGCAGCAGCACAGACAGTCCCTCCAGCTCTGACTTGTTACTTATGCTCTGTCTCGATGCACATCCTGTGTGGGAAACCAATCTGTGTGGCCAGTTCGGACCTTGGCCTGTCTCATTCCAAAGTCTTGCTATGTGGGAATTCCCCTCTGTACATCCCTCGCCAAAATATCCTCTTTTGCAACAGCGTATTTACACATTTGGGTGTGAACACTTACCCTCCACCATCAGAACTGAGAGTGAATAAATGAAAGTTGTGTATCATGTTTTGCAGTTCAGAGAGACAGATAGAGGGCAAAAGGTGAATGGAGAGGGAAAAAAAAAAAAAAAACAGAAAGCAATCAAGTGGTATTCAAATTCTGGTTTCATTAAGTATTTTCTTCCCCCCTTCCCCTGTGCTAATTAATACCTGAAGAATTACAGGCACTATCTGTAGAGTGGACACAGTTATAGGGTGACACACATGTAGGAAAAGCACCGCCTCTTTTTGATGGACCTGAGTGATGCCAGTACTGAGTGATGCCAGTACTGAGTGATGCCAGTACTAATCTCCAAGCATGTTGGAGTGATTAGGTGCAGTAGTTTTATCTAGCAAGGCAATAATGTGCTAACCTGGCTCTTTACTGCCCCTGAGGATGGGCAGAACAAGTTATGCTGGACAGACATGCCCCGGAGATGCTGTGAAGTTTTCCATTTAGCCTATGGACTACAAAAAGCCTTAGATATGGCTAGCAGCTGACAAGAAGCTGCTTCTCTGCAGCATCCAGCATTAGAGCACAGTTATCTGACCTGCCCAGAGTGGAGCTGTAGTACCTTGCAAGAGGTACCACATGTCTATATGCCAGTTTCTTTATACTGGGAGACACTGGTCAGAGGATTAGCCCAGTATTCAGCATGTTTCAGTTAGCTCTTTAGTAGATAAGAATGACAATTGCTAGAAGGTTATCTTCCTATTTAAGTCAACTTGTCCGCAGGTAAGTTTTATGGCAGTTTTGTAAAAGTAAAGGAGACAGCTACAAATTGGTAATGAGCATTTCTGCTACCATGCTCTTCTATTATGAACCACTTTGTAACATGTGCTGCTGATGAGGGGAAAAGCCTTTAAACTCTGGGTTTCCTCTCTCCTTTTGTTTTGTAGCTGGACCTGGAAGAAACATATAAAGAGAAAATCTGTGGTCTGTGTGGGAACTATGATGGCAGTGAGAAGAATGATTTGATTTTGGATGGTAGGCCACGAATACATCGTGTTCCACATAGAACAGAACTGTTAAGACCTGACACAAAACTTGATATATGCTTCTTCTAAGCAGGGTTTCATATTTCCTGCCAGACAATTTGAAATACATTAACATTTCCATGTACAGGAGATGTATTTTAAGAGTTTCTGGGATGATTTGGATTCATCTGCTGTTTGCAAACTTGCTAGAGTCTCAAACCTCTTTAAACCAAATTAATTGCCTTACTATCATGCAGCAATTTTGCCAGGTTTCCCACTGATAGTAGCAAACTTTAAGGACCTTGTAGGCTCAAATGAGGCACAAGTGCATTTTCTGTCCTTCCATTTTCATCATTTTACAGTTGGATATCAAGTGTGATAATTTTTGCTTCTGTAATGAAATGCAAGTATCATCACTGAGCCAGGGAGATTTCACTGAGCATCTTTGCAAAAACCGTGGTGCCATCCACTGACACCTTCAAATATTGCACTGAACTGGACAGAGGCCAACACAGCAAACAGCTGAGGCTACAGTTCTGCAGCAGATTGCATGAGCTGAAATGAAACCTGCATCCTGGGATATGAGCTGCAGAACTGAAGCCATCATCCCTTCATATAATACTTGATCTCTTAAGTCACCAGAAAAATATTATCATCTATCTCACCCATTGAGAAAGAATCCTGAGATTTCATTAAAAGTACCACTTGTAGTGGGGTTCATTTTCATATTTAATGTTAAGATTTTTAGATACATCTTAGTCATGGTTCTGCTCTTCACAAGCGCAACCGATGAAAACTGAAACTGGCTCAAATTTATCTGGAAAAAACAGTTTGTTGTTGAGAAGCAATGCTCTAAGAAAAACAGGCTCTTTTTTTATGTATCTGGTTCCACATCCGTGGACCAGGTGGCCTCCCATATCCCCCCTTTCTGCTCTGAACATTCTTCTCCCTGGGTTGAGCAGGCTGCAGCCAGTCTGCCTACCCAGGCTAAGATCTACTGCACATAAAAGTCCAAAATTTATTCTCACTTTCACACTCTTTTGTCTTGAGGAAAATAATTTTCAGGAAGAAAAATCCTATTTCTGCATGGAGTATCTCTTCTTGAAACTTTATTCATCATATTATTTAGTATCAATTGAGAGCCTTGGCAAGTCACATGGCTCCAAGAGCTGAGGGCTTTAGAAGGGCTTCTGTTTCCAGAAAACCTAGTGGTAAAGCACCTGAAAACAATGCTATTGTGGAAGTCATTCTCTCAGGCCTGCTCTCAGTTAAGGGACTGAGTCAGTATAGGCGAACAGACCTGGTCAGAAATCTGTCTATTAAAACTTTTTTAAAAAAGAAAAATAATCAGAGAATGGCAATTAATGCATACTCTCCATAAAATTTATAAATTTCAAACTTTGTCAGAAAGATTTCTCACATCCAGGATCGAGTTTCTGGTAATGCACTGGGAAAATGCACTCCTCTAGCTAGTGTAATGGTTACATACATGTGTGCCTGTCTTCCTCTTGCTCTGTCTTCCCAACTTCTCTCGCCTGTAAAAAGTAATAGATTTCCAGATGATTGCAAACATATGTACCTAAGGCACCCACTAGGTTGTGATAGTAGAAGGCAAACTAAAATGTATGATCATTACACATGGAAATACAAAACTCTGTGAGATCAAATACACTCATAAAAACCAGAAGTCTTTCAAAGTGTTATGGTGCAATAGAAAGGTTAAGGGACTCATGCAATTGATACAAGTGTGCCAGATTCCTGGCTTTAGCTCAGCAGAAGTTATATATATCAGGCTGACATCCTCTACAATATGGATGCTGATGCTGTGGTTAAATTGGGGCATTTGGTGAAGAGAATACTGCCTTAGAGCCCAAAGATTAAGTGCATTTTTATAGCCCATTGACTGATCTAAAGAATTGCAGGCAGTTACTCAGATGCCTCCGGGGATTTTGCAGGGTATAAAATGCATCCGAGGCAGTTTGGGAACTTCCACAAAGTAGAGGATCCATCAGAAAAGTGTGCTGATGTGAGTCCAGATGACCACACTGGAAGACATCCTAGGAGGGAAGACAATAGATGCAGTAAATATGTAAGTATAAGTGGCCAAGAAGTATAAACCTTCCTGAACAACAGCCCTGGAGAGACTGTGTTGAAACAAGTGTTAATTACAGAGCATGCACTGAATAGAATTTTTTGAGAGTCTACCCATGAATCTGAGAAAAATGATGATCTTTTAGATTAAAGAATATACTATTAAAGTGTTAAAGAAATAGATAATGGGAAAATGCACGACTGAATGACAGTTTACAGTCCAAGAAAAAGGACCTCATGACAGAAAGTAAGAGGGGATAATCTCCCAAGGTCCCTTCCAACCTGAATTATCCTGTAACCCTGGAGTTGCATCATCAAGAATTGGGGTGCGCATCCTTAAACCCGAAAGTTGGTAAAATGTTATTGTCATTCTTTTCTTCTTTACAGAAAAAAAAATGCAAGAAACTTATGTCCCGTTTTGGCAATTGCCCCAAAGTGGTTGCATTTGATGACTATGTAGAGACCTGCACTGAAGACATGTGCCACTGTGCAATTAATTCTTCTCACTCTGATTTGGTTTCCAGCTGCATATGCAGCACTTTAAACCAGTATTCTCGAGACTGTGTCCTCAGGAAGGGAGACCCTGGGGAATGGAGAACCAAAGAACTTTGCTGTAAGTAACTACTGCTCTGGAGATGTCTTTCAGGTCAGGCATAAATGTAGGTGTTCTGATCCCAGTAGAGCAAAACCAGGAGATCTGCTAACTATTGTGAATTAATCTATAGAAGTACTTTGACCAAAATATTGTTAACGAAAAAGCTCCTGCAAATTTAACTTGATTTTGCTCCTTAAATTAGAACTATATCTTAATATTATCCCCCTCCTCCTTATGGCTAAGTTTTCTCCAGTTCTGTTTTGAGTTTTAGCATGCATTTAACTCATGAATAGCCTTGCTTTAAATGTTGACATCTAGTCAGAAGTCACTGAGAAGTCTAATGTGTTTGTCCTTAGCTTACCCTGTGTTTTCGTACTCAGTAAACCCAGGGGGAAGACTGCAAGTAATTCTCCCAAACTGCTGGTGTGGATTGGGATAGAAAATTAATGCCAGAATGACTGATGCTTCAGGCAAGAACAAACTCTTATCCGGTGTTCTGTGCTTGTATCATGACTTCAGCCAACCTTGAGCTAGTAAAATAATGTGAAATAACGTATTTTCTAGCAGTACTGTTTTCTCCAAAGATGAAGTAAAAGTGACCATAAAAAGTTCCTTTAGAGGTTAAACAAACATCACACATCTGGAGAGAAAGTTTAGCAAACGAGATACAATGGAAAGGAGGAGGAAGGATTTGGGTGGTGATACAATGATTTGAGGGGTCTTATAAATATATCATTAACATACCCTATTTTCTTTTGGCCTTGCAGATCAGGAATGCCCAAACAACATGGAGTACATGGAATGTGGAAACTCCTGTGCTGACACATGCGCTGACCCAGAAAGAAGCAAGATCTGTAAAGCCCCATGTACTGATGGCTGTTTCTGTCCTCCTGGTAAGGCAGTGCGCTTCTCCCAATGGGTCACACACATCAAGGGACAAAGAGGGAGTTTGTTCCCTTTCAGTTAGTGGCTTTTTTTTTTCCTTTAACATTTTACATTAAAACCAACTAAAAAACTTTTTTTTTTTTTCTAGAATAATTTAACAACTTTCTTATTGGAAGATCCAGGTCTCTAAATCGAGATCCTGACCCTGGAGGAGGGAAGGGAAAGGTTTCTGAGGACTAGAGAGAAAAATGGTACAGATGTGGGAAAAGGAGGGTTATTCTCTAGACAGTAAGAATGCAGGTGAAGATGTGTGATGAGGTGCCTCCCTGTTATGGGGCTGGATCTTGCTGTAGGTGAAGTCACAGGTAATAATGCATGGCCAGGTTTGTGCATGTGCAAGTTTGCACAAGAAGCAGAAGCTAAATGGGGGGGTTTGATCTCTGTTCGATTCACTATTAGGAAAGGATGGAAACTGGCTCACAGTGACAAATTTCAGTAGCATGAAGAGATATTCTTTGGGTTTTGCACTGTTTTTGTATGAGGTCTAGTAAGAAATGTTTCCCATCCATTAACACCCGAAAGGGCCTGGTGTGGTGTTTTCCTTAAAACATATCCCCATCCAGAAATGCTCAATAGTCCAGAGTTTTTTCCTTACTCTAATTTTCCTTGATGGTGTTTCCCAGACTTACCAAAGACATATTAACTATCCAATGTGTCTGAACAGGAACCATCCTCGATGACCTCGGTGGCAAAAAATGCATCCCCAGAGACAGCTGCCCCTGTATGTTTCAAGGCAAAGTCTACTCATCTGGAGGGACTTACTCCACTCCCTGCCAAAACTGGTACTGTTGTGGACTTGATTACACTAACAAGGCAGAGGCATTTATTTCAGAGTGTTCATGAGTTGTATTCTGGTTTTTTATTATTTCCCCCCCCCTTATTCCTAACATTTGTCTTTAATAATAATGCAAAACCTGGGTTTGAATTTCAACAGTACATGAAACTTAGGGGAGTCCACAACCTCACATAGTTATCGCCCTCACTTGGAACTGCCAGCAAAAACTGAGATCAAGATTTCAGAATGCAGAAGAATGAGATGATTAGTTCAGAGGCAGTGGTCCCTAAAGTGAGGCAAGGAGCCATACCATGTTAATGAGTTACAGTTCCAACCACCTCTAGATCTACAAAAGGCTGTTCCAAGTCCTGGATCTCAGAAGTCCTGATCCTTGAGAATGATTTGTTTTAGAAAAAACCCTGTAGCTTGAACCCATCTCCACTCTACACTACTGAAAGGTGATAAGACTTCAGGTATATTATTCTCAAACCAGTTTTATTTCTTACTGTGACAGTTATCCGTGAATGAACAGCTGTATGTGTTATTTGAGCTCCTGCAACACAGCATCATTTCTTGACCGTAGCCTAACTTTTACTATAGAGAGGTATGAAATATGCTGTGCATGTTGGGGTAGGCCGGGTGTTCTGCAAACCCCTCTGGATTGAATATTTCCTGCGTTTTAAGGTAAACCTGCAGTTTTGAGGAACTGAACTTGATTGGCTCTGGATGGTTTCCATATAGCCACATTCTTACTCCTCACAAAGCCTGAGTTAACATGACTGGGCTGTTCTCTTGTGTGCACTGCTCTAAGAATTCTAACTGCTCATTATCTCAGGTTCTCCACAATTAGCTGCTGAAATGTTGCATCAACAACTTGCTGAACAGTGTCATCAGTAGCTTAAAATGTTGCAAGATCCTGCTTGAAGCAGTTTGTTCTTTCTTTAAAAAGTCAAGTAAATGATTTAGGCCCTGAACAACATTTCTTGCTTAATCAACTCTGTATCCCTCTGAAGGATAATCATATTCTATGATTCTCCTGAAGGATTCTGTGATTCTCCGGCCAATTTCAATTCAAGATGAACTTTTGCTTTTCCAACTGCATCCTTGCACACCCTGGCAATGCCCTTGTAGTTCTCAGTGGATATTTGTCTGCTTTTCCATCTCTGGTTCACTTCTCTTCTGGTATTGAGCAGACTCAGAAGCTCATAGTTAAGCCAGTGGGGTCTTTTGCTCTACCTACTTCCCTTAACTTTAAAGGGGATGAGCTGCTTTTGTGCTTCCAAGTGTGCATTTGTGAAAAACTCCCAGCACTTGCTAACTCCTCTATCCCCCATGGAAATTTCCCACAGAATCCCTCTCAAATGGGCTCTGAGCAAGCTGAAGTTTTCCCTTCTAAAAGCTAAAATCCTTGGTCTTAGTACTAACCCGCAGTGTGCTCAGCAGGTTCCCAAACTCCACAATATTGAGATCACTACAGCCAAAGCTATCACTAGCCAAGATATTACAAACCAGGTTTATTTGGTCTGTGTGTAGCAAATCCAGCCGTTCCTCATTCCTGGTTGGCACAGCTAACATTAGTATGAGGAAGCAGTCCTCTAGGCATTCCAGGAATTTGATGGATGATGTGTGAGCTGCTGTATTGTTCTTCAAGCAGACACCTGGGCAGTTGAAATCACTCAGAAGAATCAGGTTCTGTTGAGCCAAAGCTTGCTTAAGTGACCCAAATATTGCTTTGTTGACCTTACCATCTTGGTTTGGAGGTCGGTAGTAGATGCTTACTGTAAGATTCCCCTTGGAGGTGACCCCATAGCTAGTTCAAAGCCCAGTGCAGTTAACTCTCTCACTAAGAAACATTCGACCTTCACACTTTAAGGGACTAATTTAAAGTCTTCCTCTCACAGAGATTTAATAAGCAGCCAAATAACAAGTTAAAAAGACAAAGAGGGTGTCATCTGTGCAGATTCAGATCAAGATGCTGTCTCACCTTTGCTCTTTTAAAGCTATGTTTATTCTAACTGCTCCTTTTTGGGATTTGTACAGTACTTGCAAAGGAGGTCACTGGAGCTGTATCTCTCTGCCCTGTTCCGGAAGCTGCAATATAGATGGAGGATTCCATATAACAACGTTCGATAATAAGAGATTTAATTTTCATGGCAACTGCCATTATGTCTTAGCCAAGGTATGAACAATCTCCCGTTTCATTGCTAAATATCTCGAGGAGCATGAGGCATTAAGCTCTGCTGGAGCTTGATATGGCTTAATTTAATTAAATGGCACCAATCCAGCAAAGCACTTCAACACAGGCTCAGTCTTAAATCCCATAAATTTCCCCATTTGCAATGGATTGCAAGTCAATTGCTTGATGCTTAGCATCAAAGTTTTGCTGCTTCAACATAATTTTATATCTTTTTTTTTAATGAATTCGTTTTCTTAGTGGTTGTATTAGTGTAGATTTAAACATTTCTTCTGAAGCTTTCTTCATGTATGACTGTTAAAAAGAAGTGGTTGAACAAAAATTCCTGCAGAAAGGTTGAATTCCATATGACATTCTGGAAATGTGATCTACACAGGTTGATAGCAAGGAAACAGGAGCAGAGGAAAGGCAGTGAACATTATTGATTTTGGCAATAAAATAAAGCAGTTTGCAGTCAGAGATTAAATGCCCCAGTTCTTGCATTATTCCATTTCAGCTCTTTAGAGACACATTTTTCTCTTCTAGCTCCCTTCCTCTAACATACTAACAATGTCTGCACATCCCTTTTCTCACATGTTTTCAGAATAGTGATGACACGTTTGTGGTGATTGGAGAGATCGTCCAGTGTGGGACATCAAAGACAATGACTTGCTTAAAGAATGTATTAGTCACACTGGGAAGAACTGTAAGTAACTTCCTTTAATTAGTGACACATAATATGACACTTTTATTCAGGTTCAAAGATGGGATTTCTCCAACACTATGGACTCATTTTGATCTGTTGCAGTCCTGAGACTGCAAGATTAATGCCAGCAGATGATGCAGTGCATGTGTTTATTCAGTTTTGTTCTACAAGAGTTATTTCAAGTTCTTTTGGATTCTGGTTTTCCCATTTTCTTTAGAGGTATATGGCTAAAAATTATCCCTGTTGACTTTTTCTCTCTTTTTCATGACTTTGAACTTTTACACTTGTTTCTTTTTGAAAGACTGATAATTCTATGAGAAAAGATCCCCTTGTTTTTACAACAGATCTGAGTCCAGAGGTTTTTCCTAATGCATTGAGTGAAATAGCAGAATTTTCCAAATGAAGGCCAGAAATTTCTCCTATTGAAGATTATGCCATGATTCAATGAATTCAGCGGAAGATGAGTTAGGGCTGGTATTTTTGCACTCCTAAATATATAGAGATACATTCTGTCCAGCTGGCACGTAACTGGTGCAGTCCTAACCTTGTTAGGAGATCCATCATCTTAATCTCCTTCTATAACCAATAAAGATGGGGATCTCCAAAGGACAAGTCGGCCCAAGGTATGACAAGTTCTTCCGGAGGGGCTTGTCTCCCTCCATTGGTTACTGAGGGAGTTTGGGTTGGGTAGCTCTCATTTTGGGATTGTTACATTTCCAACGGGGTGGATCCAAACCTTCACGTAACATCTCACATGCTGTGCTCAAAAAGTTAACTAACCTCTTAGGTATGTGAGAGCACTCAATAAAAACTGTTGCTTATGGAGAGGGTTTTTCATTTTTAACAAAAATGGAATTAAAATGGCCATAAAAATGGCCTAGAGATTTGATCTACGTTACAGTATGGCATCCAGACACTGAGCGATTTTGACCCCAGAGGTGATCATGTTTTGAAGATGCTACTTCTTAATGCTTAATGAAGTGTTGCTATTATCTGTTTCATGTCATATGCATTCACTACTATGGGCTTTTTCTTTTTCCCTGCAGACTATAAAAATATGTTCCTGTGGAAATATCTACATGAATAATTTTATTGTGAAGCTGCCAGTAAGCAAAGGTAAATGTCCTTCACATCTCCCCCAGACTAGCCTACACCTATTTACACAGGGATTCCTAGCCCTTTCTCTGAAAAGCACACGATCCTGCTCATTGTTCGGTCATTTGAATTAGGTGGATACTAGGTCTGGGGCTCCGCGGGAATTCCTGCGTTACACTGGATGCACTGGTAAACAGGAGTTCCTATTTACTCAGCTTCGTAAAGATTTGCAGGTGCATGCATATTTTTTTTTTTTCTTTTATTTTTTTCCTCTTTAGATGGCATCACCATCTTCAGATCCTCTACATTTTTCATTCAAATATTGAGCTCAAATGGAGTGCGGATTCAAGTGCAAATGAAACCTGTAATGCAGCTCTCCATAACAGTTGATCATTCTTACCAGAATCGCACATCTGGTAGGACATATCATCTTCCTTCAGTTTTCTATTAAATTGAGTTATAGCTGCTTGTCTATCACCCTAAGTGAACAAATTATTTGATTTTATATTGACTTTGGTATGTTAGAGTTAATTCTATAGTCTTCCTGAAACAAAGTGTTGGCTAAACCCTTCAGTTTCCTGAAGAAAAATAGATAATCTCTGTGATGTTTCGTGTGTCTAGGTTTTTTAGACTCTATCTCTAAAAGCAGACCTTCATCAGAGATTTGCAAGATGCCAGCTATGCTCTTGATTTTTCCACCAATCTCCTGTTTACATCATTTAAGCTTTTTGTGCTTCTGTTCTCTATCCCTGTAATGGGATTACATCCTGTCTCTCCAACCCATTTTGGTTTGCTTTTGCAATTTCCTTTGCTTATGATCTTTTCGGGAAGACACGTGTTTTTGTCTGCCAGTGTTTACTGAAGCATGTTTAAGCAGCTTCTAATCTCTGTGCTATCACTAAATGCTACTATAATGCAGAAAAAATAATAATTACACTCTAAAGACATGATCCTGTCTGATTTGTGGGAACATCAGGAAGTCTGACAGAAAATGAGCTTCTCTCAGGCAAGGTCCATTATAGAGTTAAGAGTGTTCATCTAGAAGCCATTCCTCTTACACTCACACATTTTTTTTATTTTTTTTTTTCCTGCTACCCACACAAGGTCTTTGTGGCAATTTCAATAATATCCAAACTGATGACTTCAGAACAGTCACTGGAGCTGTGGAAGATTCAGCTTCTGCTTTTGGTAACTCATGGAAAACTAGAGCCAGCTGTTTTGATGTTGAAGACAGCTTTGAAGATCCTTGTTCAAACAGTGTGGATAGAGGTAGCAGGCTTCTTGTCCCTGGATTATTAGTACTAAATAATTTTCACATGACAGATAACTAAAGAAGCTTTAGAAATCTCACAAGCATCAATAGCCACCACCATTGAGGTGTTACTAGAGAGAACACATGGGGTTTTACAGGTCTTCAAGGTGACAGCTTTGCTTTTAAAACAAAGAAACCTTCACTGCTGGAGAAAGACCCAACAACTTCACTAATGACTTGAAAAGCACACACAGCATCAATGAGAACAATTTAGGTTTAAGGCAGAGCATATTTGGTTATCAATATTTGGGCAAGATCTTCATCCAATCTAGGTTGTTACAGATGTACTGAAGTCAAAAGGAGTAAGTTATCAACAGTACTGACTTCAGCAAGCATCGTACTATACCTGGAGCCCTGTCTGATTTCTCGCTTTGGCTGGGTTTGGATATATATCAGATTCAGACTGATATTCTCTAGGTATTGCCACATGTAATTGAAGCTGCAACTCAGAGCCACACAGCTCACTGATTATTACATGCTTGGTATTATTGCTTGACTATAAAGAATTTCCTGACTGCAAAGAAATAGGAAAGTTTGATGGAGAATGATGAAAACGGGAAGTTTTTGCAGATGTTCTGCAAATCCAGACACAGTAATGTGTTAGTACATGGAAGGTGAAACCTTTCTCTTAGGGAGATGGCTGTTCACCCATCCAACTGTACTTATCACCTTGATATGTTATTGCCCTGTATTTCCTTCTGGCGTTATCTGAACACTTCAAGACATTCTAGTTCTGTGTGATACCTGAAGAATATTGATTCAGATATTAATGTGGTTTAAGTGACTATGGACAATGATATTTTTTTCCCGCTTCAGAAAAATTTGCCCAGCACTGGTGTGCTCTTCTGTCTAATACAAGCAGTGTGTTTGCTGCCTGCCACTCTGTTGTAGACACTTCTGTGTACATCAAGGTAAGGCACTGGTTCAAATGGGTGGTTTAATCTAGTTGAGAGACTGATCTGCCAAGAAGGTAGTCTGGCCTAGGGCAGTGAAATAGGTTACAGTAACGCCTTTTTACAAAGAAGTTCACTGATGCTGATGAGAAAAATAGCAAAATGAAAGTTTATGCAAGATATGATGGACATTTTTGGCTGTAGCCCTGAAAACGTTAAGTGACTGCCATCACTGACAGTTCTGTTGCATGATCCAGAAGCAGAAAAAAAATGGGTTTACTGTTCTTGAAAACTGTTCACTCTTTCAAAGGCCAAATCAGTGTTTCTGTGTGGAATTGAACCGAGATTTTTTTCAGCCCCATGGATTCCCTCTGACTTGGTTTAAAAGTCACATCTAGGGGGAGAATATATATTAGATTTACATTGTTTATATCCCATTTATTACTGTGGAATCATGTTAGTCTCCTCAAATTTAGAATGCAAGAAGCTGCCCAGAAATACTCTTGGTGTACAGCTCTATAATGCTGCTGAGCAAGTTGGCTGAGCTAGAGAGTTGCCGCATTTATATGAATAGTAAAATAGTTTCTGCAAAACCACAGAAAATTCATGTAGGGGGGGTGTGTGTGATACAACTTACTGAGAAAATACCTGAGCCTGAAATTTGATCTAAAATTTAATATGTCTTCAAGCACTTTTAAAAATATGGCTTATGCTTTACCTCTCTCAAGCGTCCCTCAGAAAATATGTCTGCTTGAGAATTCATCTTAACTATAAGTAAAATAGGAACTTGCAATTTTCAATTAAGGGAAAGTAAAAACCAGTTTCTTATGGACATGTCTGTTTTTCCTGCGGATCTCATCAGATTTTAAACCATCATTCATGGCAGCATTCTCCACAACATCAGTAAGGGCAGGATAAGTCACCACCTATGCAGTATGACCCTACTGCTCTTGAGTGACTGGCTGTATCTGGGTTCTTCCATCCAGCCACGCAATTAAAAGAACTTGAGCTTTGAATCTCCTTTATTCCTACCTAACTAGTTCATCAGATGTCATTACATATGATTTCCTATTAAACTGTCTTCTGTTATGCGCCTGTCATTTGATTGGGTGTTACTTATCCACACGCTACATAGGTACACAAGTGCCAGCCACCGCTATGCAGTATTTTCAGCTCTGTATATTTTCAGGTGACATATTTTGACATGTCCTAGATTGTACATCCTCATGAGAAGCTGGTATAGACATTTCTTAGTGCACTGATGAATTATAGGTGCCCTTATCATTCTTATTATTCATCTATTCACCTGTGTTAGGAATAATGTCATTGCTGTTGCATGACTGTGATTGATTTCTTATTTCTCAGGTTGGCACAGTATTTCATTAGCATACATTTTCTCTTAGAGGTATTACAAATTAAGTTTCATTAGTAATAATGCTTTCTAAAATATATGTATTGGCTGGCTACTTTTTGAATTGCTATATTTCCCTGTGTCTTTTGTGAACTGGGCATAATAACAGCCATGTCCTTTTCTGTTCCCTAGAAATGTATGTATGACACCTGCAATGCTGAGAAGAGTGAAGTTGCGCTGTGTAGTGTGCTCTCTACTTACTCCAGAGACTGTGCTACAGCAGGCGTGTCCCTGAAGGGCTGGAGGCAGGGCATCTGTGGTATGCATCCTAAAATACACAGGGATTTGGGGGAACAGCTTCAGGAGGCAGCTTGTGGCAGTCCGTATCTTTTGTGCTTAGTCATCAACTTTGTACGTCTTTGAAAAAGTGTAACATATATTTTATAAAAATTTTTTGCCTGTCAAAATCAGTTCTTGTCCACTTCATGCTCTTATGATGCATGTTCCTTGTGTAAAATGCTAGGTGAATTCAGTAGTCAGAGAAGCAAAAGAATATGAAGTGTATTAATCAAATCACAAGAAGGAGTTGCAATTAGGTTAGTTTTAAGCACGTGGATCTTGTCATGTATTTTAATTCTGATACATTTTTGCAGTTTATGTCAGCCCTATTTCCCACACTAATGGTGTCACTCTCATTAACTGTATTTTTCCATGTTGCAGTAAAATAGTAATGATTTTTAGTAAATATATATTGGTGATAATCTGAGAATGTGGAGGTGTTTAAAGGCATTTTCAGCTCAGGACTGGCTAACAAATGAATAAAAATTTCTTGGACACACACATTGTCACTAAATTGTGGGTTCGGAGTCCACATGTGTATAACTTTGGCACAGACGGAGTTTATTAGGAGATGGCATCAGAGCTGAGAATAAATCTCACAAGTCCCATCTGCTGAATTTTACTTCAACATTTCCATTTTTCCACTGACAATCAGATAGTTCAAGTGAGATTTGCCTATATCAACATGAAAACAGATGTACTGGTTTCTTGACCAATAGCATCTGAATAGGAAACTTGACAACAATTATTTTAATGCAGATTTGATGCAGGTATGATCTATTTGATTGCCTGATTTAGAGGCTAGCTGGGATATTTAATGGAGACAAACAATGTAACCACTATGGTGCTTTGTCTAAGGCTTTTAAAATTGCAGTAAGAACAATTTAACAAATTTGTACTGAAATAATTCAAAGGGAACACAGTGTAATCCACAGCAAATTATCCTATAATCAGAAGATTTATGTACTAGACATAGTCTGTGTTTATTGAAAGCCTTGTTATCAACACAGAATTACTGACATTTTTTAATGTCTAAACAAGGCTGGTTTGCCGCATGGGTTAGACTGAAATCTGTGGACTCATGGCTCAGTAGTTCATATTGATCCAAGCAGTACAGTAACCTTGGGAAAAAAAAAAAAAAACAAACAAAAAACAACAAACAAAACCAACCAAAAAAAACAGCTAACGGCTTAATCAGTGTAAATATTTTAGGTCTTATTTAAGAAGAAATAATCTTTTGGGGACATGCCTGTGATAAGATTGAAGGTTGCACTGTTCATGAGTGAAAGAATAAATAGGCCTGTGGTCTGTCCCTCCGCGGGGGTTGGAAAGGCTCTTCCAGCTCCTGCAGCTGTGTCCTGCAGGCGGCATCCCAGGCAGGTTATATCCTGAGGGCATGGCTACCCTGCAGTCAGTGGAGTGTATGAAATCAGTAAATCCTACTAGCTAGCTGTTGGCAGTGTGCTTATGTGACACCATCTTTAGCGGAAGCATGAACCATTATTTGAGTTACTGGTTACCCAGAACACCATTGGGGTCCGTAGCCTCTGTTAAGTCATGGTACTGGGTTTTTTAGTGCTCCTTGTGCTAGCTAGCTTGAAGCTGTATTTGGTATGCTCACGTTCTCTGCGTTCACACCTCCAGCTCTATGTATGCAATCTAAGATTTCAAATCTGTGACCGTAAGTACTATAATCAAATAACCTTTTTCTTACCAGATCTTCTTTACCAAAATTAATTTTTTTCCTCTATTAAAAATTAAAGGGAGAAAGTAAACACATTATTTTATTGTATTAATAGCTAACAACTCAGACATCCATTCAGGTAAATCTTATGAAAACTCATGTTCAACATCTTTATTAATAACTTCCCTATTTGGCCTTTTTTTTATTTACAAATACCAGTTGCTGCATCTCCATTGTATGCCTGTAAAGCAGGAGAATATGGCCCGCCCAGTTTATACACAGGATGTTGTGTCTGCTCCACCTAAGGCCAGGAAACCCACTGGATTTTGTTGGTGGAGGTGGTGGAGTTGAACGTGTTCACAAACCTAGAACACTAATTAATCTAAGAACGTGTGCTATGGTCATGGACTGGAAAGCCCTGCAGAGCTTTGTTTAAGCATGGAACCTGTTGCTGATACGGTGATAACATTGCTGCAAAGTTCATTAGCACAATTACCCATGAACAACCGCCCTGTACTCTCTAGTACATGTGTGTATCTGAAGAACAGCTGTGGAGTTGCATCTATGGGTGTTAGTTAGAAAGCAGTCTAGACGACTAGATCCCCAGTTCTTGTTGAATTTCAAGGGAATCTGGATGCCAGGCTTTCTTGAAAACCACAGCCTTAATGTGGCTGGTATTTCCTGACATTATTTGATGCTATCCCTATGGATCACTACTGCAGATTCTATGGCAGAGTTTTGAAGGTGTTTTGTGGTAGCCTGTGAAAATTAATCAGCTTTTCACTGTCTTACAGAGTCAGTTGAGCTCTTTAGATTTTGGTATTTAACAGTTTGATCCACCCAGAAGTCTTAGAAACTGTTGTTTCTTATTTCCCCAGAGGATGACAAGAGTTTTGCTCAAGACACCTATGAAAATTCAAACACACTTTCTTTAGTAGCATCAAACGATTAGCAGAGCTCCTTGGTGCCACCCATTTAATGTCAAAATCTACCCTTTACATTTCTTTAACTATTCCCAGTCAAAGAAATTATTAGTAAAGGACAGAAAATTAATTTTTAACCACAAGGACAAGTCAGAAGTTATTGGTTTCAGTTCTTGGCATAAGATAGAAATGTTAATTGTACAAATTACAAAATTTTACTGATTCCTTTATTCAGTCAGGATATACCCTGCTGAGCATTTCAGTATTCAGTGTCACATAGTTTAGGATATGTGAGCAGACTTCACCCAGACCACTGGGAGACAAGATCTTCTAGTTTGAAAAAAGCACATTTATGGGTACCAACATGCAGAAAGCTGCATTAACAGCATGTGTGATGATTGCAGAGAAGGCCATACATCCATTTTATTTCTCTTGCAAAGATCCCTCTGAGGAGTGTCCTGAGACTATGGTTTATAACTATAGTGTGAAGTACTGTAACCAGTCTTGCCGCTCGCTGGACGAACCTGATCCGCTGTGTAAAGTTCAGATCACTCCAATGGAGGGCTGTGGTTGCCCTGAAGGGACCTACCTCAATGACGAGGAGAAATGTGTAACTCCAGACGACTGTCCCTGCTACTACAAAGGCAAGATTGTCCAGCCTGGCAACTCCTTCCAAGAGGACAAACTGATGTGGTAAGCTGCTCTGATGATGCAAAGGCTGCGTACCTGGGGGATGTCAGCCCACGCTGGGGAAATCCCTGCTCTAATCCCTCAATGGTATCATTTTACCGTAAAGGAATGATGACAAATTTCTCCTAAATTGCACCAAAGCAAATATTCCCCTGGCAGGAAGTGCAGCCACAGCAAAGGTTAAGATTCTATGTTCCTGGTAGCAAACAAGAACTTGAAAACATGTTAAGTAGAGTAATGTTTGCAACCTATCTCTACGCAGAGTTTATCGTGTGTAAAAAAATTCCTTACACAGTGGGAGGAAGGTTTTTTTGAAAATGGGGGACTTGCAGAAGTTTCTGGCTTTGAAATGAAAAACCAAAGTTAAAAAAACACAAACACACTCTCCTGCAGACTATTTTAAAATTTAAAATGGTTCAGGAAAAAGCCCCAAAATCTCAGTTTTTAAAAGGAGATTTTTAAAAAGAGGGAGAATTTTTGAGGAAAATACTAGAAATAACGTAATTAATTTTCATCTGCAGAGAAAAACAATTGTCATTTTCTCATTTTCCATCAGTTCAGGGCAACAATGAAAACACACCAGAGGAAGGCTGTTTTTCTCAAACAATTTATTTCTATCTTTAAATATCTACATATTCTCTCTCTCTTTCTTCCAACTCCTTTTTTTTTTTTTTTTTTTTTTTTTTTTTTTTTTTTTTTTTATTTTGGAAACACAGATTCACATAGTAATTTAACAGGTCTCTTATTTAAGAAAGTATAAGATTCATGTCAGGGAGTGCAAAATAGGTGCTTAGAAAAAACTTGATTCAAGTAAACCAGTGGCAGATGAAGGAAAAGTGTTTAAGAGATGGGTGTCTTAATCTTCCTTCCTTCCACATAATTCATGTCTGTGAACCTGATAGCTGTAGCAAATATTAATTTTGATAGGAATTTGTTAATTTTGTGTTTAGTGAAGCTTTGCAGTGCATTTCTCTCCAGTGAGAGAGAAATGTGCAAAGAGCTGACGTGTTTCATTTTATGGAATCTCTTTAGCAAATGCATTCAAGGAAGATTAGACTGCATTGGAGAAACTGTCCTGGTAAAAGGTAAGATTTTGTTAAATAATGGCATTACGGTGCCAGTTAGTATATGTGATGTTTTTCTGTGTTATCTCTAACTTTCTGTAAAATTTTAGTATTCTGCACATTTTTGCTTCTGCCTGAAATACGCTGGTTATTGATAATAGTTTTCTCTGTAAAAATGTCACCAGACTTGCTGAATTCTTTAAATGATGAAGATATTATCCAAAACTTAGAAGGTATCTGTCTCCTTCTCCCCACACTGTTGGTGGGCAGAGCAAAAGCTAATAAAAACTGTAAAGGAGAGACACATGCTGACCTTTGAAATGCTCTACTCCTGTTTACAGTCGCTGATGGCATCCTTATTCCTTTCACTAAATGACCTTTTTAAAATGTTTTCTTCCTCCTATAGATTGCCCAGCTCCTATGTATTACTTCAACTGCAGCTCTGCGGGTCTCGGTGCGATTGGATCAGAATGTCAGAAAAGTTGTAAGACGCAGGACATGCACTGTGTAAGGACGTTGCCTCCTGGTGGGAACATGGGACATGAATGCACATGTATGATTGTCCTTAACAAATGCTGATGGTAACATGTTACGCTGTTCACAGACCAATTACTTTACTGATATCACAGCAGCTCAGCCATGTAGCTGTGATACTTGTAGTTTGACTGTCATTAACTTACAGTTATGGGATTTAAAAAAAAAAAAATTTCAAAAGTTTGGCATCCGGAGCTAGCACCTCTGCTGGTTCCCCGTAGTTTCTGTGTATTAATTAGTTGCCTTGCGTTGTGTCTTTATATATGCAGTATGTCACTGAATGTGTTTCTGGCTGCATGTGTCCTGATGGGCTGGTATTGGATGGCAGTGGAGGATGTATTCCCAAAGATCAATGCCCATGTGTCCATGGTGGACACTTTTATAAACCTGGGGAAACCATCAAAGTGGACTGCAACACATGGTATGTTATTCCAGGGAGCCTTTTTTTATTACAAAGGTTGTTAAAATTGTCAGTGCATAGTGCACCCATGGGGCAGGATGCATTTTGAAGCCTTCCTCTTCATCGTTAGAGCCATCAGGCCTCTAGTAGAAATAAAAAAGTAAACATGTCTCTTTACAACATGCTGCATGAATGTGTGTTTAGGGAGAGCAAGTACCAAGATCTGTCAAACGATTTCCAAGCTCTTCTGCAAACTGCTTCCACACCAGCTTTAGAAGTACCACCCTCATCCAGGTTGGTCTGTGACTGGTCATTCTACAAGGGGAAACTGAGTCTGTGTCTGTTGAATTTAGAGGAGGGGAAAAATGCAACAATCTTCCAGTGACTTGCAGTGCTTCCTTCTGCGTGCATGGTTCTCAGATAAGATAGCTGAATGTCCTAGTTGCTCCAATTGCTGGTATGACTCTGCCATAGCCTTCACTGTTATTACTGATCATGGTGGGTAAAATGCCTTGAACCCTTTACCAATTATTTAGTGAGGATGAGACTGTATAGTCCTGCCAAGAGGATGCACAGACAACAAGGGGCAGATCACCACTTGTACAGGCAGTCAAGTTTAACATGTGAAGCCAAACCCTGATGAGCAGTTGTTGGTATTGCAGAGGCCATTAAGAAGTTTCATTGCAGTGAGGGCTTTGTTCTCTTATGAGAACAGGACACACACTGGGAAAAAAAAATGCAGTCTCTGTGTCAGGGATATAACTAAAATTTTCTGTCTGTGGTCCCCCTGAACTGGAGGTTAAGTTTGTCAAGGTGTGGTGGGTTGACCCTGGCTGGATGCCAGATGCCCACTAAGCTGCTTTCTCTCTCCCCTTCTCAGCAGGATGGGGTGGGGATGGGGGCAGAAAATAAGATGGAAAAAACTTGTGGCTCAAAATAAAAGCAGTTTAATAAAACAAAAGCAAAAGTCACACATGAAAACAAAGACCATTCGCAGAAGCAAAAGAAAACAGAAGATTTATTCTCTACTTCCCATCAGCAGGCGATGTCTACCACTTCCCAGCAAGTAGGGCTTCAGTATGTGTAGCAGTTGCTTCAGAAAAGAAAGGTCACAATACTGAATGCCCCCACACACACACACCTCTTTTCTCTCAGCTTTTATGGCCGAGCAGACATCACACAGTACGGAATATCCCTCTGGTCACTTTGTGCCAGCCGTCCTGGCTGTGTCCCCTCCCAGGATCTTGCCCGCCCCCAGCCCACGGGTGAGGGGGAGCGTTGGAGAGACAGCCCTGGTGCTGGGCGAGCACTGCCCGGCAGCAGCCAGCACCCTGCGGTGTTATCAGCACCTCTCCAGCTGCCCCACAGAGCACGGCCCTGGGAGGGGGCTGCGGGGACAAGGAACTCCACTCAGCCTTAGCCAATCCACAGGGGAAGGCAGCGGTAATATTAGTTCACACCACTGTAGTCAAGAACAGAACTGGCCACACGGTACCTCATGGGTTAATATTCAGAAATGGTTGAAATATTCAGTTCTTCACCTTGAATTTACCTCCTAAATCTCCACTGTCTGCTGCCAGGACTTGATTTAAAAGATATGTGAAGGAAGAGATAGAAGTTCAAACGTGTCTCAGTAGTAAACATGGACTTTCTGATTATAAGACATCTCATGGCATGGTCTAAAAACAGTTGAGCGGGTAAGCCTGGAAGAGTGAGAGATTGCTTCCTTTGATGTTCTGCAGATTACAAACATTTGAATTACTCTGCCCCTATTTGGGCTTCAGGAAAAACCATGTTTCATACAAAGACTGTGCTTGTTTGCATTTTGCCTCCCAGCACCTGCAACAAAAGGCAGTGGGACTGCACAGACAACCCCTGCAAGGGAACCTGCACTGTGTACGGAAACGGGCACTACATGAGCTTTGATGGGGAGAAGTTTGATTTCCTGGGAGACTGTGACTATATCCTAGCTCAGGTATCAATTTTTTTTTTTTCACTTTCCTATCCATTTCACAGCTTACACTGCAGGCTTCAGTCTGAGTGACTAAAGGGATATTCCATGCAAAATAATCAACACTGGTGAGCAGAGCCTACTCCCCTCCTCTTGTACCCAGAGGAGATACAGTGAGATTGTCCATATAAAGGCAATTCACCCTCAGAAGTGACACAAGAGGGCACTGTGTGATCCTAAACGATTAACTCCTGGGCTGGACAGGCCTTTCCTGATGTAATTCCAGCATCTGCAAGGGAAAGGAATTGGTGTGGTGTTGAGAAGCTAAATGTTTCTCTCAGCCACCCAATACTGACAGTATTTTTGTTGTGACAGAAGCAGGTAGAGATTAAGGTGTCAGCCTCGTGTATAATAATTCCATGCAATGAGACAGTACTCAGACATTTTGTCATCCCTAAATTACAGTTTTGCTAATTTTAAGAAAAAATATTTTTTGTCTTTCTGACTGTGCAGGACTGGTGCTATGAAAAGCTCAGGTTTTTTCCCTAGCTTTTCTCTGAAATTCCTGGTCAAATATAAACCTGCCACCTGGTCAGCTGCCACTAGATTCTTCAGAAATGCCCAGAGTTTTGGTGAACAAAAATCTGACAAAATGGGAAGAGTCAGACTAGACTCCTTCAGAGCCCCTGAACATGTTTAAGACTGGTCCAGTTGCTTGAAAAGATCTAATACAATGTTATCTATTTTTCTAAGGATTTTTGCCCCAATAACGTGGATGCTGGCACCTTCCGAATCGTAATTCAGAACAACGCTTGTGGGAAGTCACTCTCCATCTGCTCCCTAAAGATCACACTGATTTTTGAGGTTTGTCTAGAATAGGTTATAACTGAGGAGCTACAGTCTTGATTTTGTAGCCATTAGTGTAGTATCCCCTTATATTCCAACTCAGCTGCTGCTAGAGAGTACCTATGGAAAGCAAACAGCCTGAAAGCGGAGGCAGTCGTGCTGGGAAAGGTTTTAGGTATTTGCTGTTAACAGGTCTGGACACTTCTGTAGGTGAAGGGATAGATGCAGGGATTCAACAGCACCCTATGCATGTGCATGTGTGTATGTGCACTTACATCTGTGCCATTAGTGGTATAGAAATGATGGTAAAGTTTTTAGAGGAGCATGTTTCTGTACCACGGTATGAGCACAGGGCAGATGTAACTGCAGAGGGAAGAGTTTCTTCCCTCCAGCTCAGGCTTAGCATTTCCCCAAAGTGTACACACAGAAAAAAAGATTTCTCCCATAGTGGGGGTTGAGGGGATGGCGAAACAAAGCAGCATGACAAGGGGTGTTCTAGCGTGCCCAGTGGCCTGTGCACACAGGAGCTGCTGTGCCAGCAGAACAGATTTCATCTAGAATGCAGACAATTTCTGTGTCCATGAGGTAAGGCTTGTCACGCAAGGGCAGACGTTTCCCATTGAACTCAGTGGGTCTCGTCTGTGGCTCAAATGTCTGGTGATAGACTAAGATGTAGAGCAAAGACTACAGAAAAATTAAGATGAAGGACAAGAGGCAGAATACCAGTGCTGTTACACAAAGTTTTCTATTTGACTTCCTTCCATGAAACATATCTGTTCCTTGTAGAGCAGTGAAATTAGGCTCTTGGAAGGAAGAATTCAGGAGATAGCCACTGATCCAGGAGCTAAGAAAAATTACAAGGTGGATCTCAGAGGAGGTTATATTGTGATTGAAACAAATCAAGGGATGAACTTCATGTGGGACCAGAAGACCACTGTTGTTGTTCATGTGGCACCATCCTTCCAGGTAAGTATGAGATGGATTAAGAGCTATGATTTTAAACTCAAAGTTATGTATCCAGAACGGAAGTCCCAGTTTGAAAAGCAGGGGGTGGAAAAGTGTTCAGTTCGGTCAACAAAAGGAAGCAAGCAGGTCATGTCTTCTGTTTTATTTCATTGTTCAGTCAGTATGAAACACTCCAGAATATTTGGAGCTAGAAATGAAGTCAAACACTTTGCAGTATTGGAGGGTTAGCAGAGTGATCTTATCACTTGAAGTTCAGCTTTTTCTAAGCCATATTTTGATGGCAGCTTAGAAATTTGCAGCTGTTTTGCCTTGGCCTGTTCTGTAGTGTATTTCTGTCAACCAGTGGGCTTCACTCAAAATAACCAAGCCATTTACTTTGTCAACACAAATTACCCAGGGAAAGGTTTGTGGCCTTTGTGGGGACTTTGATGGCCGCTCAAGGAATGACTTCACAACCAGAGGGCAGTCCATGGAGATGAGCATCCAGGAATTTGGAAATAGCTGGAAAATAACAAGCACCTGCTCAAATCTAAACATGACGGACCTGTGTGCTGATCAACCTTTCAAGTCTGCCCTGGGACAGAAGCACTGCAGCATCATTAAGAGTAACATCTTTGAAGCCTGTCACAGTAAGGTAATCCTGTTCTCTCATCCTCAGTGGTTTCACACTAGGTATTTGCTGCTACTATGCAGCACATGTGCACACAAATTTTTAATATTAAAAGCTACTACACGGCATCCTCAAGTACAAGGGCTACCTCTCTCATCTATACCAGTTGAATACTGTTGCACAGCACTGAGGAAACAACAGTGCCTCTTTCAAGCAACTGAAGACAAAGAGGATAATAGTTGGCTACTTTACTTTTAAAAGTAAAACATTAGGTATCTGTAAAATCTAGATATAAGTTAGCATAAGACTGTTTGTATGGGTATCCTTGGGAAAATTTATTCAATTTACCTGAAGAGATTAATTGTCTTTTTTTTTTAGACAGAAATTGAATTAATGTAAACAGAAACAATGCTTCTAGTTCTTAATGAGAATGTCTATGCATAGATTCAGTGCAATTTAATAAGCCATTTTAAAAGCAAACTTGGCTTAATTTCCTTGGTTAGTTCATGTTGGCACAGGTTAAAACACAACAGAAGTGAAGTTCAGTGGAAATAGGATTTCCTTTTATACTCACTTAATCACTGTCTCTCAATGATTAAAGAGTGCACATACCATATAGCTGTGCTAACCCAAAGCAAGGTAGTTCAGTCCTGCAGAAATTACACTGAAAAGACATTTTGGGTGTAGATGCCAGTACTACACACATGAGAATGAGAAGATTTAGTCTAATTCTACCAGGCAGGTGAAAACAGAAAACTACCTGTTGTAAAATGTGATAGCTCCTTCATGACAAACCCAGTCTGTCACACACTCGGCCTGGTTCTGCCAAAGAAACTGCCAGCTGATGGCAGAAATTCAGAGCCCTTTCTCTCATTAAAACACAGGGCACCAGGTACCTCTGTGGTAACAGATCTGTTGGTATTCTGACAGGTCAACCCAATACCATATTATGAATCTTGTGTTTCTGACTTCTGTGGCTGTGACAGTGTGGGAGACTGTGAGTGCTTTTGTACCTCAGTTGCTGCTTATTCAAGAAGTTGTAGCAGAGCTGGTGTTTGTATTGACTGGAGAACGCCTGCCATTTGCCGTAAGTACTGCACTAAAAATGCACACAGACAAGCAGTGCTCCATGCATTCAGGCACATGGGAGATAAAGAGCAGAATTCTGACATCGCTGTGCATGTGTGATTAAACAAACTCTTGTTTACAAGATTTAGAAAATAACCCCTGCCTGGTGTCTGAGAACTGGAGGTTATTTATTCTTCTGTTCCAGCCGTGTTCTGTGATTATTACAATCCACCTGACAAACATGAGTGGTTCTATAAACCCTGCGGAGCCCCTTGTCTAAAGACCTGCAGGAACCCACATGGCAAGTGTGGGAACTTGCTGTACAGTTTAGAAGGTAATTATTTTATTGCTTGACTTCTATGCAGTTTATGGCAGTTGAACATATTTGTCTGGTTTTCAATGTCTTAAGCATCAAGGTTGCTGAAGGGCTACCCCATTTGCCCCAGAAACTCATTGACCATTCATCATCAGGAATTCCCCATGTAATGGTGCCATTCATAGCATAATTTGCCTGTTGCTTTTAAATCTGTGATAGAAAAACAGTCATTCAGTCTAAATTTGCAAAGAATCGTTATCTATTGACAAACAGTTAATTAAAACTTTTGGGACAGAGGGAAAAAGAGGATGTGGAAAAATAATTGGTAGGGTAAGGAACATTCATCCAGGGACCACATCCATTTGGGGATTAAATCTGCATCTGACAGAGGTATTTATGTGTTTTCCCTGGATCTATGTAAAGCAGACTAAGAATGCTTTGTTTACTTTAACTTTCCAGGCTGTTACCCTGAGTGCAGTCCTGACAAGCCATATTTTGATGAGGAGAGTAGGGAGTGCGTCTCCCTCCCCAACTGCACTTCATGGTAGGTCGGTTGATGGTGAGAGAGGTAGAAGACTGGAAAGGACAAGATAGGCAATGTTGGGTTTATGTTCACAGGCAATGGCAATTATAATTAAATCCTCCAGAAGTAGGCTTTTATGTAAAAGTAGATACCTTTGCGCATATTATTCCACATACTGCTTCAAGTCAATAAAACAAGTTTTCTCCTTTTCATCTTTAGTGATCCTGAAGAGAAACTATGTATTGAAGACTCCACAGGTAACTTTTCACCATCCTCACCTTTCACTGAGTGATGATAGGACTGAAACAACCCAACAACACAGTTACTGCAGGCGTGTTGGTAATAGGACTCCAGCTAGCTAGCTCAATAGGTGGATGTGTGCACAGATATATTCTGATAAGCAAAATGCAGCCTTTGACCTGAAGAACTATCTAAAGGATAATCACAGGAAGGAAGCAGAGAGGTGCGAAGTGTGGGATTCATCTCACCCAGGTAAATGCTACTTCTCCAGGTTTATACTTCCTTGGTAGTCAGTGAAGATGGACAGAAAGCAGTCTGAAGCAGGCCATTCATGGTACCTGCTTTAATAAGCACTTTTAAAATAGGACTAATCTTGTAGAGGTGCTATTTTATGTCTATTAAATTCATAATAAGCCTAGACAGCTAGCTCATGAGAGACAAGTTTGTGTGCCTAAAGGGCACGACTCCTTAAGTATGATATCAGTTCATTCGCATATGTGGGAGAAACCACATCCCAAATGCAGGGTGACCCAGCAGACAATACAAAATCAGTTTTGGTGATTTTGATACAGTAATAGATATATTCCCTTGGGTTCCTGAGTGCACATTCTCCAAAACCTGGAGGGCTTCTTATAAATTTAAGTGAAATTGTTTATCACTGCATGTTCCTCACTAGTAGATGGACATGGCTGTGCAACACCTTCCGAGCCAGTGTGTGGTCACTCAGCAGGCAGCAATCCCAGTCACATTCCCTGCCAAGAGGGAATGGACCTGTGCTCTGTGCTGTGTGAGGACGGTGCCGGTTCTGATGCTTTCACCAGCCAGTAATTCCTCTATGCACGCTAACTCCAAGAAACAACACCACAACCACCATAAATCCAGCCCACTTTAAATAAATGAGGTAGACTCCCAGTGCAAGTTCTCAAGTAGAAACTGAGAAAGTTTTTCAGACAGGTAATTCATGTTGGATGATTAGTTACAGAAGGGTAAATGGAGAGTTCGGTTTTCTTTTTGTTTGTATTTACAAGTGTCCCGTTACTATGGCATTTGCTTTTTTGGTGCCTCAGATTGCCTTTGCTGCTACAATGGAAAGACCTATGCCTTAAATGAAACTGTATTCAGCCAAGTATATGGGACCGAGTGTGGTGATGCTGTCTGTGGCCCTAACGGAGAGGTCATTAAAACACCCATCCCTTGCAGAACACCATCCACACCAGCACAAGGTACTAGATTTATGAGAGGTTTGATGGTGACTTTATGAATGTCTGTAATGGTAATGAGATTCCTCCATCTTGGAAAAAAGACTCCTACTGCATGTCAGGATAAGCACAGAATTTAAGGAAGTTGAAGGTTCAGGAACAAATGTCTCGTGGTGTTGACCAAAAGTGTAATCTGTATAGTTTCTTACTGTCAATGGGGTAAAGAGATATATTTGGATATAATATTTATATTTGGCCATTTTTCAGCACAGATTTTACAATAACTTTGGGCATACCACAGTTGACACTGTTGGTGTTAGTCTCAGAATTTTAAAACCTAGTTTAAAAACCTTGGTTTTATCCTTCTTAGCACCTATATCACACTGTGGTTCTTATTGTACTGTTTTCTGCACTGGAATAAGTCAGTCTCAAATGGGTCACTGAAGCAAGAATATAAAACTGCCTTGGCTGTTTACTCCCTTCCCAAAAGAGAAGTTGCAGGGTGAAGGGGATGTGAATGAACTGAAAATAAGATGTAAAGAGAAATGAAGAAAAGGTGGAATTTTGCCACATGATTATAGCAAAGAAAAATAAGTGCATAAGAAAATGTGTATTATCCCTGTAGCAAATTATACAGAGGGGACAAGGAAAATTCAAAGTTATCTTCTCTACTCAAGGGAGTGGAAGAGCTAAAGACTTGATGGTGAGACCATGCATTTGGTATTTATTAAATGTGTTAACAAGTGGAATAAGAAATATAATGGAGTAATAGGTAGGAAAGGAAGGACTACTGAAAGCAGAGCATAGGGGGCATAGTAAAATGTCTAAATGAACTGTCTATATTTAAACCAACAGATTCTTCACAACAAGGCACTAAAAGGCAAAATGGAGTGTCACTGGAAATCACCTCTCCAAAATCAGGTTAAATCCTGCAGGATTAGAAAGTTCAGAGAAAGCTTAAATTGGAATGAATAAGTGACAGTAGAAGGGTGATTTATTGTATTCTATATAGAAAAAAAACCTAACTACAAGGGGGAGTGTGTGTGCATTATTCTAGTAGCATACAGTGTAATAGAGAGAGTGTATACAAATACAGAGTGGGTGGTTTTAGTGTGTACATGTACAGAATGTGGTGGGGGTACAAAAATGATTATTTTTTTTCCTCTTTTTGTTATTGCAGAGAAAGTAATAGATGATGTAGGGCTTGAAAGTAGAGTAGCAGAAGATTTGAATGTTAATTTATTTCATTTCCTGCAGAACCACATATGCAACCTGTAACAACTGCACCTCCATCGTCAGCGGTAGCCACTCCCTGCTTCTGCAATGACAATGGACAATTGATACAAATGGGTGAGGAACCAAGCAAATTTTTTTCTGCAGCAGTGCTGTGGGAAGATGTACTGTTAGATAAAGGTGCTTCAGCAAGTGGTCGTTCAGCCTGCTGCAGTTACACTTTACCACAAGTTGTTACAACTTTGAACTGTAACACCTTCAGAGCTACAGCTCCCCCATACCCTACAACTTTGTCCTGGTTAGGATATCCATGGTGTAAGGAAGCTTATACTAGATGCTACCTTTAGTGGACTCCAACAAACACCCTGAACTCCAAACTGCTGAACATGGGCCTGTAATCCACAGTCATATATCAAAAATGAAGGAGAGAAGACTCTTCTTCATCTCTTAGTAGCTCCTGAACCACCCGTCTCCTGCTCTTTGTGAAGACCAGATGCACGCAGTGATGTATTCGGTATTCTCCCCTGTTTTACAATTCCCACTAAGTGCATTTAAGAGCAGAATTTCAGACTAGCCACCTGTGGCCTTCCCTCAGCCTTTGCCATTTGGCCGAATTGAGCCCTGGTTCAGTCAGTGAATTCAAGGAGTTGCAGGCAGACAGTCACACCTGAATGTGGCCATGGGGTACAGGCAGACGCCGTGAGTTAAATGCAGGGCTATGTGTCCAGTCTGTGGCCCATAGCCCTGGACAGTTACCAGTTCCATACACAGTCCTGCACTAACAGTTGGGTTTTGTCCTTGCAGGAGAAAATGTTTCTCTGGCAGTGAATGTATCAGGTCATTGTGCTTACTCCATTTGCAATGCATCGTGTCAGATTGAATTAATTTGGGCAGAGTGTAAAACTGGTCACGCTGAGGCCCTCGAGATCTGTGATCCAGACTCCAAAGCCTGTCCACCAGCATCTGCTCCCAGTGCAATAATCCAGGTTCCTGCTTCCACAGAGACTCCTGTGAGCGATTGTCTTGGGCTCATTCCTCCCAGAAAGGTGGGACAGCTTCAGCTACAGCATTGCCTGCAGCCAAAATTTGGTGTACTTTTCTGATGCTGGTAACTATTGCTACAGCTGGACTGTAGGTGTGGTTGGATTAGATTACTTAGAAGCATACCAGAAGCTCCCAAATAACTGAGGGAATAAATTGAAGATTATTCTGTTTTCCTAAAACATCTAAATGATTGTCTGTGGGCAGAACTACCTAAGCTGAAAATAGGAAACCACATCAGGCAGTGTTTTATCATCAGAAGTGGTCAGGACCTTGAGTCCTATGCAAAATATTGCAGAACAGAATTAGATATCAAGGTTCTGTTGATTATTGTATATATCATATTGCCAAGTTTCTAGAGAAAGAGTAGATAGCGAATAAAACCATGCTAGACAATTAACTGGATGGAGCGTAGTAGCTGTGTGTGATTTTACAGATTGTGTTACATTAATTTGTTAAGTGTCTCTCCTCTTCTTATTCAATCCATCAATAGTTTAATGAAACATGGAATTTTGGAAACTGCCAGATTGCCACTTGCCTGGGACAAGGGAACAATATTAAACTGTCCAGCATGACTTGCCCTCCTCAGCAACTGAAACTCTGTGTCAATGGTTTCCCATTCACAAAACACTACGATGAAACTGGTTGCTGTGAAGTCTTTGAGTGTCAGTGTAAGTACTGCCGCAGGAGACTCCCCACAACTCGCGTTACGCTCAGCTGGGCCTCAAGAAACACAAGTCTATATGGTCAACAGCTGTATTATGTTCATATTAATTCAGTAAGATGTAATGGAACAGAAATCCTATCTAAAACAGTGGCTGTTAAGAGCAGATAAGTGTCCTTGCTAGGCTAAATTTTTACCTTTGTCTTCCAGGTATTTGCAGTGGATGGGGAAATGAGCATTATGTGACTTTTGATGGAACATATTACCATTTTAAAGAAAACTGCACCTATGTCCTTGTGAAGTCAATTCATCACAACTTCTGGATTCATATAGACAACTACTACTGTGGTGCCGTTGATGGAGCGATTTGTTCAATGTCCCTTCTCATTTTTCATTCCAACTCTGTTGTTATTCTGACACAAGCAATGGAACACGGAAAAGAAACAAACTTGGTAAAGTATTGTGTTAAAATGAATTGTCAATATTATTTCACTGTAGTTATATTACTCTACTGCCAAATGTCCTGTCAGGACAAAGGATGAAGCTTGTAAAAAATGGAATGGGTAGGAAATGCAATTACATTGCGCTCTCTCTCTCTTTTTTTTTTCCTTTGTGTCAACAAAAATTTGTATATTCTAAGAACTTGGGAAATTATCACATAATTTAAAATTGTGTTTTTCTTCCTGACATGAGTATTCAAATATAAAATCCAAATATTAAAAAGGAATCATACAGAACTGCTTAAATGACTGAATTTAACAGACTTAATTTGGTGCACCTGAGGTCTGAATTTTTTCTGCTCTGCTTTCCATTTGCACAAACTGGAAGAATGTCCATAGAAACCTTTTGTTTCTCTTATTTTTAGATTTTGTTTGATGATAAGAAAGTTGTTCCAGACATTTCCAAGAATGGTATCACGATAACCAGTTCTGGCCTTTACGTCATAGTTGAAATACCTGAATTAGAAGTCTATGTCTCCTACAGTCGACTTGCATTTTACATAAAACTCCCTTTCAGAATGTTTTATAACAGTACCATGGGACTGTGTGGTGAGTGTCCTCATCAGCTGACGGTAATGAATGCAGTAAATTTTCCTCCTTCTTTCTCTCATCCCCTTGTAAACATCTCTAAATGCTTGCAACTCCGATGATTTCTATTGCTCACAAACTTTGATAAATTTATCTCTGTTTGGTGGAAAGATTGTCAGGAGACAGAGTTTTAAGTCACTTTCTTTTGTTCTGTTCACAGTCTGTTGGTGGATGGAGATAGGTTCTTTCTAAGCCCTTTCTCTTGGTTATACCTACTCAGTATGGGAATATATGAAATCTGGAGAGTCCTGTGCTAGGCAGATCCATCTCAGTTGCTTTAGCCACCATGAGAAATGCATCAGCCAACATGTCAGCTCTGGTTTTCATGAGTACCTAGCAAACTATTTCTTCTAGCCTTATCTTCCTACAAACAGTTCTTGTGAACTCATCCAGGACCCCATATGTTGTTGTTACCTTCCCACAGGGAGAACTTCCCTCCAGGATTTCTCTAAAAGTGTCTTCATCAGCATCAACTGTCCTTGAACTGTCCCTTTGCTTCTCTGTTGCTACCAGGTACCTGCACCAACCAGAAGTCTGATGATGCTATGAAGAGGAATGGTGAGGTTATCGAGTCCTTCGAAGACATGGGATTAGATTGGAAAGTCCCAGATCCTACCAACAGATACTGTAATCCAGGTGTCTTAGAACCAGCTGAAATTGAATATCATCAGCACTGTGAGCCTTCCAATCTGTGTAAAATCATCTGGTAAGACAACTCCCACAGGTGCCAGAAAAATAAGTCCACAAGATAATTTTGTGCTTCACTACATGACTTGGGTGAACATGATGATAGGACATGATGAAGATATGAAGTCTAGCATACCCTGAAAAACTGAGCAGCAAACTGATAGGCGTATGTTCCTGAGTTTGGCAGATATTTTTCAGCATCATCATCAAAATCAGTCCTCCCTTAGTAGTGTGTGTTGCTTGGGCAGTCCCTCTGCCTGCCAGTTCTGGAGAAGCCAACCAGGAACTAACTATAATTCAGTATCTGAAAGCTCTGGAGGAAAAGGAACACAGTCAGAATATAGAAAGCAAAGGTGTGTCTGTTTTTAAAATGATTTTGTGGTTTAAAACAGGATTGTCAAACATGCTGACATACAAATGTCAGCATATAGAAATATAGCTGTGAGCTGTGCAGGAGATTTTTCTTTGAAGGTATCAGACTGACATGAAATTGCTTGCTTTCAAAACACTGCAAGGAATGGGAGATAAAACTAATTCTTAAACTGTATGCATGTATTGCCTATCAGAGCAAATTGTAGCTCTACCTTTACCTTGAGGCTTTCTCTGGGTGGGGATGGGTTTGGTTCTGAGTTGAATTCTTCCTTGGAAGTAGCCCAAGGAAGTGAAATGCCATGTCTGTCTCCTTGCTGTGTGAAGGAACCTGACGGAGTGCCATGGCATGATACCCCCCCAGCCCTATTACGAGGCGTGTGTGGCCAGCGGGTGCTCCGAGCGGCACCCCAGCACTGAGTGCCAGAGCATGCAGATGTACGCGGCCTTGTGCGGGCTCCACGGGGTCTGCGTGGACTGGAGGAGACAGGCCAATGGGCAGTGCGGTAAGCCTGGGAAAGACCCGCTGGTGGGGAAGAAACTCCGCTCTGTTCTTTCCTCACCCACACACCTGTTTGTGTTCCTCGGGCTTCAATCTTCCCTGAGCTGCTCTGGGCCTGAGAAAAAGCAAGAACAAATCAGAGAGGTTGTTCCAGTCCAGAACTGGTGCAAAACAAGGGGAAAACAGGTCCAACAGTCTCTCCTGAGCGGCCCTGCTGAGGAGCCCTGTGTGCTACCTGGAGCTTCATCACTAGATGGCAACGCACAGCTTCTCTCCGCGTGCTTTGCTCCGCTCAGGGGGACCCAGGGATTCAGGGGTACTGTCGCAAGCACCTTGCTGAATCCATTGTCAGCTCCGGCTGAAGCTGCAGGGAAACCCTCTCTGGGCAGGAGCCTGGGCTGTGCGGACCCATGGGGTGGGCTGCGTTAGCGTGCGTGGTGCGCCCATCGTGCATCGAAGGGTACATGGGTCTGGGCTTTCTAACCTCTGCGTTGTAATGCTCCACAGAGGCCAGCTGTCCTCAGGATCAGGTCTACAAGCCATGTGGGGAAGCAAAAAGAAACACTTGCTTCAGCAGGTGGGTCATTTCCTAAGGCGCTTTTCAAGTCCATAACTTGAAAATCGCCAAGGAAGGCTGGAAGTTCACATTCGCTTGGGATGGGTGTCTGATTGCCCTGTCATTTCTGCCTTTCATTCGTTCTTGTTTATATTGTAATTGTGCAGAGAAGTCGTTATGGACGCCTTCACCTCCCAAAATAACACACCAGTGTTTGTTGAGGGATGCTATTGCCCTGATAGAAAAATTCTGCTGAATGATCATGACGGCATTTGTGTTTCTGTCTGTGGTAAGAAATAATGTAAATGGTGGGGTGGGAAGGGGAGATAAGAGCTTGACTAGAACGCACATTAAGGCAGACTGTTCTGGGTACAGAGGAAATGGGGGAGGCCTTGATACTGACCCTTTCTAGTTAGGCTGGGAATGTTTCAAATTGGCAGTTTCTGCCTGCTCTTATGCATGAAGTGCAACTTTCAAGAGAACAAAGAGGAGGATCTTTAAGATGTTTTGGGTACACAACCTGTGACTTTGCACTCTGGATCTCTCTCCTTGTGACTATTTCTCACATTTCAAGACCTTCCTTCTATTTTTGTCATCCTGCTTCTGTTGTTTTCCCCAGTTCGGTTACCCCTAAAGTAATCTGTAATTCATTTTATAGGTTGCACTGCACAAGATGGGTCAGTGAAACAGGTAAGAAAAAGGAAAACACTGTATACTATACACTGTATACACTGTATACTGGGTGCTGTGACCTCCTGTAAAAATGACTGCATGAGTTTCTTCTTTTAATTCTAAGCTTCAATATCAATGAACTGCAATGACAGTGGGGAAGAAAACAGCAGATTTCTTTAACTCCAGAACTTTATTAATCACTTGATGTACAGAAGCAGAAATAGCAGTTTGTGGGAATCACTGTTTGCTGGTAGGACCAGGCTTCCCGTCTGGAAACACGTAAACCTGCAAAGGAAGGTGCCGGATAATAGCACTTTTTCTTCCTTCTCCTCCTTCTGTCATTTGAACTGTGATTTTCCTACATAATAAATTAGGACAACCCAGCCCTACACAGTCTTGCAGCAGGCATCCATTAATATTTGCTCTCTGAACAATCCCTATTGTTTTCACAGCCTAGAGAGGCTTGGGAGCACAACTGTCAATACTGTGCTTGCGATGAAGCGACCTTGAATATCTCTTGCTTCCCCCGCCCTTGTGCTCAATCTCCACCTATCAACTGCACTAAAGAGGGATTTGTACGCAAAATAAAACCACGTCTGGATGACCCATGCTGCACAGAAACAGTCTGTGGTGAGTAGATAATTCAGATGTCATAATGCAGCATCATTTGCCTTTAGCAGCAATCCTCAAGTGAGATCTGGTACCCCTCAGGTACCAGATTCAAATAAATGCACTGGAGTGGTCATTTCTTCCATCTACACATCAGGAGATCTTGCTATCAGCAGAGATCTCCTCTGGTCCAGCTTGTATTCTAAACTAGTGCCATGACCTGTCAGATATTTGCATTGGAAAAACCCCCATGGATCACTGGGACCACCAGGTGTTTCATAGGACCCTTCTCCCTTCTGAGAGGAGAGGGTGATCCTGGCACAGAGATCTATCCAGCAAGGGAGGATGTGCTCATCTTCCAGGCTCCCCCAAGGCCTTCTGTGGAGGTTCTTGTTATATGTTTGCCTTCACCTTTCCATTTGCACTCTCCCAGTCCCAAATGTCCACCACAGCACAGGACCTCCTCATCAGCCTGCTCCTAACCCTGGCCATTCCCAGAACCTGTAGGAAGATGCAAGACAGGGAATCCTGGCAATGCTGATGGGATCTTTTTCTGTTCCTCATCCCTTTATGATGCTGGGCAGAGGTCCATTAGGCTCCTTGGATGCCTTGAGGGACCAGTGGGCACTGTCATGGTGATCTGCCTTGCATCTTTGGCTCTCATCTATTACCTCTTCATTTTTTTCACTTTCTGAGTCATTTACCTTTACTCCAACTTGTATGTCTCACATCTCTGAGGTGAGGGTGTTTGAGATTTATAAAGATTACACCCAGTGGGGAAGCAAAGCAGGAACAAAGGCCAGAAGTACATGTCCAGGGAAGAGCTTTACAATAGAGAGAGCTTAGAGATACTTCCCCTGAACATGTCCCAGACTCCAAAAATGGGTGGTACAAGAGTCATCTATTTCTAGATGATGGTTTGGCTTACTTTATGTCTGTTGTCTATTGCAGAATGTGATATAAAAGCCTGCATTATCAACAAAACAACATGTGACTTAGGCTTCCAACCAGTGGTTGCTATATCTGAGGGTGGTTGTTGTCCTATCTTCTCCTGTAGTAAGTACCATGTTTCCTTAAGGTGTTTTATTTATTCGTTGAACTATTTTTTTTCTAAATGAGTCAAAATCATAAGCAGTAGTCTCTCACCTTCCCTCTCAGCCTTTACATTTGGAGCTTTTTGTTTTTTTGTGGAGGTACAGTAACTGCTGCAGGTTCTCTGTAGGTATTTAAAGTTATGGATCAGATACTGAATGTTGGTTGCATTGAACCCTTCCAGAAGCTCTTCTGCCAAACTATATTTCCGGATTGACATACCTGACCCAGCTTCCCATTGGCTCTGTTACTAGCAAGATGGTTAGCAATAAAGAAAGCCTCAACTAATTTCAAGTATAAGTAAAAAACCATTAGGTAAATAGATTTTTCTGTATGGAAAATACAGGTTATAGAATTAGTCTCCACTTCATACATAACATAGAATCGTAGAATCACAGACTGGTTTGGGTTGGAAGGGGCCTTAAAGATCACCCAGTTCCAACCCCCTGCCATGGGCAGGGACACCTTCCACCAGCCCAGGTTGCCCAAAGCCCCGTCCAACCTGGCCTTGAACCCTTCCAGGGAGGGGGCAGCCACAGCTTCTCTGGGCAGCCTGTGCCAGGGCCTCATCACCCTCACAGGGAAGAGTTTCTTCCACGTATCTAATCTAAATCTACACTTTTTCAGTTTAAAACAGTTGCTCCTCATCCAGCCCTACACCCCCTGATCAAGGGTCCCTCCCCCCTTTCCTGTAGCCCCTTTCAGTACTGGGAGACCTCTCTAAGGTCTCCCTGGAGCCTTCTCTTCTCCAGCTGAACCCCCCAACTCTCTCAGCCTGTCCTCACAGGGAGATGCTCCAGCCCCTGATCATCATTGTGGCCTCCTCTGGACCCACTTGAGCAGGTCCATGTCCTTATTTGGTGCCCCCAGAGCTGGGCACAGCACCTCAGGGGGGGGTCTGGTGAGAGCAGAGTAGAGGGGCAGAATCCCCTCCCTTGACCTGCTGCCCACACTGCTCTGGATGCAGCCCAGGACACGGTTGGCTTTCTGGGCTGTGAACGCACAGTGCTGGTCATAGTCAGTTTTCCACCCACTACTACTCCTAAGTCCTCTGCGGGGCTGTTCTCTGAGCAGATGTTACATGTGGGCTTCCAAGCAACACTTAGCACCATGCACTAGTTACTTTCCCCCCCCCCTTTTGACCAGGCTACTCAGGCTAGTGAATAAGCCTAGTTCTACTCTTTGTCTCCTCTTAATCACTCACAATTCAGAGATGAGTACAGTAACTGTTTATATCATTCCTAGCACATCCTTTTCATTTTATTTTTTCTTACAGTACCTAAAGGTGTATGTGTTTCTGAAGGAGTTGAATTTAAGGTAGGTCTTCTTCCAGACACTTCTTTCCACAGGTTAATGCTGCCTGAGACAGTTTCCTGAAATTGTTATTGTCAACACTCACATAAAAATCAGGATTTAGAATGGCCTGTAATTTTTTCCCTGCCAGTAGTCTTATGTACTATTGGAAACATTACTGAATAAATAATGCGAGAGGCCAGTAGCTTGCTTAGAGATTTTACCTGTGTTTTAAAGTTGAGAAGTCAGATTTGTGATTGAATACAAATCTTAAATCTCACTGGACGTTGCAAGATTAATTACTAGGTCAAACTGAGTGAAAATTGATGCATGGAATATATGAGATAACCTAATTACTCATTTAATGTGATTGATGCACTTGGGAGTGTCAGCCTTGTGTTTGCTTTGTGATACTGACCGTGTGAGGTTTTGGCGATCTGGAGGTATTCATTTCAGGAAGTCCTTCCAAAAACAAATCCCAAACATAAGCATTCATAGTCCAGCAGATCTACTTTTATTCTAGAACCCAGCGAATTCTTGCCTGTCTCTTCTCTCCTCTGTATTTCCAGCCTGGGGCAATGGTGCCTAAAAGCTCTTGTGAGGACTGTGTGTGCACAGATGAGCAGGACGCTGTGACACGGACCAACCACATCCAGTGTGTTCCAGTGAAATGCCAAACCACCTGCCAGCAGGTCAGCGCTGCGTGCTCAGCCTCCCCGACCACAGACGATGGCTGCTGAGGGGATGCACTATAAAACTGGGATAGTACAACTGCTTCCTCGCTGAAAGATAGCAGGATACAACCTTCTACTCTATTTTTTGCAAATTCCTTTTTAGGGTGCTGGTTACGTTTGCTCTAGCAAATTTAGAGGTCGGTCTTGGAAAGATGCCCTGAGGGAGAACGATTGCAAACCTGTTAAAGAGAAGTCCAGCTGCTGACAGACAATGTTTCTGTCCTGCTGTTGGTGTTGCCCATTGTCCACCCAAAAGTTAAGGTTGTGAAGAAACTGCACGGTGGTTTATATGTTTCCAGATACAGTCAGCTGAGAGCCTGAACACAAGCTGTTCAGTCTATTACTGGATGTAAGAAAAGAGTGGTTTCTTTTCCGTTCTTGCCCAGTTAAGGCCGAAACCACCACCAATCCTAAAAAATGGATAAAACCATTATTCTTTATCCTGAAGCCAGCCACACCCTCCAAGAGACCAATGGATACCTAAAACACAGGGGAGGAAAAAACTGATGCGTGATCTTCACATATCTGACAGCAGCAATTCTTGTGGATAATCATCTCAGACCAAGCACTGGTGGTATATCGTGCAACTAATCATCTGCTGAATTAATTTACTTGGTCTGATTGTGTGTTAGCCCAAAGAATAGACAATGACAATGTCTTCACGGTAAATGAAGGGCCCAGAAGTCACTATTCAATAAGAGAAAGAAATTTTCATCTTTGATTGTCAGGCTTAAAGTTGTTCCAACAGGTTTCTAAGGACAACAGAAATGAAACCAGAAGGTTGGCCCATTTCCTGATGTCATCTCCAGCGTGGCTTTGATCCAAAGTTGCTTCATGAACAAGACATCAGGTGACATGGCTAAATAGAAACATTATTCCCACAGGGTTTCCGCTACGTGGAAGAGGAGGGTCAGTGCTGCAGCCAGTGTCAGCAAGTGGCATGTGTGGCAAATTTTCCATTTGGCAATGTGACCATTGAGGTAAGCACTCCCTTGCCCTGCACAGACAGCTGAATTATCAAAAAGGCCTCAGCATTTTTGAACTAGTGTCATACATTCTGAGGCTGGGAAGACCTGTAGGAGATTTAAAAATGTCTGTATTTCCAAAGTAAATGTAGATGTTTATACAGCTGCTCTCTGCTGTGTGCATCTCAGGCACCACTGTGTTGAAAATGATGCATCTCTGTCAGGAATGGAAATCATGTTACACCCCCACCTCCTGCCATGCAGCAGAGGGAAAGAATTTGGAGGGAATGATGCTGTTGTGTAGTACTGCTCTTGCAGAGACACGTGAGCTGCCTTCACATCATACTGCTCCGATCTGGAAGCAGTGTCATTATCTCGCCCTGGAGATACAGGGCTGTGTAGTGTGAGCGAGCTGGTGCAGCTGTACTACCACTAGTTCTGAACCTGCTGAGGCAGAAATCAGCAGCGGCGTAGCTGATAGAGTGTAGTGTGCCTCGGTAACACGCCCAGGTAATAATACATCGTCTTGTGAGCGCAGACATGGGCTGAGCCTCAGGGTAGCTCTCTGGTTTTATTACAGCCCGATACTCCTCTCTCAACCGGTGACTATTGTCTTACATGCTCTTGCTTCTCTGGTAGCTCTTGTATCTTTTCTATTCTGTATCTTTTCTATTTCATCCTTTCATTCCTTGATAATTTATTGTGCAAGCTAACTTCTCCTGTGCCAATGTACAATTTTTATGTTTCCATGAGGAGGTTTTATCCATTAACCTCAATGATGAAGACTTCTCTTTCACACTTCTTGCTTTTCTTCCACCTATTAAAATATAAAACTGTTGAAATCCTTTAAAATAACTATTTTTCATTTGTGTATATTTTATTCCATGTGCACTAACACACCTACCTTCTGGCATTTCTGTTCATACCTCTGTGCTCATTCTGCCACCAGCTTTTGATTCTTTCCACTTAGGTGGCCACAGAAGGGATTTCGCATAGGCTGATAGTGGGTGAGCTTGGCACATAACTTGCAGATGTGAGTCCTACACTTCCCAGCACTTTCAGAGTTCTATGAACAATCCAGTCCATCTGCCAGTTCACTGACTGTGTCACTATTGTGTTACTCTATTTTTCTGCTATACTATATTGGGTTGGGGTTTTTCTCCTGTTTTTATTCAGGTTGGAAAGAGTTACAAAGCTCCATACGATAACTGCACTCAGTACACGTGCACTGAATCAGCGGGCCAGTTTTCCCTGACTAGTACAGTAAAAGTCTGCCTACCGTTTGAAGAATCAAACTGTGTCCCAGTAAGTATTTTAGAGCCACAAAAAGACTGATGGTCTGGGAGATTTCTCTACTGTTTTGAATGATCCACTTCAGTATTTCTTGATCTTCCTGAGCTGATCATCCTTGTTTGAAGGAAATGTGCTTTTTCTGTCCTGAACGGAGTGTCCCATGGAAGTAAAACAAAACTATTTGCAAACAACGCATACATTTTACTTGTGGGATAAGCACTAGAACTTGAAAGAGAAGAATATTGGGGCAATAGCAAGGTTGTCTTTTTCATCACTTGAGAAACACCAGTTACAAAATACAATGGAGCAAATGGTAACTCACCATGGACGCCTGGGGGAACTGATGAACTCGATGTCTTCTGGTACGTGGTGCATCACTAAGCAAAGAAGGTGTACACGGATGAGCAAGGGGCACCCTTCAAGCCCTGGTTCTCAGCCATTAGTGGTTTCCAGTAACTTTCAGAAGCTCTGTGGGGCTTCGCAGCAGATCTGAAAACCAAAGCAGGGACAAAGATGGCCATTGACTTGAATTAGCTTTGGTGTAGGTTCTATGCAGGTCAGGCTGTTCAATTCCCGAAGCAGCTGTCACTCTCTGGGGCTGGGTGTTTTCTGTTGGCTTCAGTAGCACCTGCCTAAGGTCAGGCATGTGTTGCGGGACATCTTAATTGGCTTCTGAGAGGATATATAGTGTTAAGAAAATTCACTCCCTCCTTTGCTGGATTTTTTTTAAAGCCATTTTATAGATAATTGGTACACAAATGGGTCTGATGAGGAATCTGTGTTGGTTAGAGATGAGGGATTATACCTGCACTCTCATCATTGCTACTAGCTGCTTAGCAGTATGTGCATCTGAACTGTTCTGATTACATTTGCTTTTAATACAGGGGACAGTTGATGTGACTTCAGACGGCTGCTGTAAAACATGTGAGTGCATCAAATCACTGATTCCCGAGTCCACTACTGTTACCTTCTTCTCTGCTTGTAGTTCTGTTTCTGCATGCACTGAGAGTCTTCAGTTTCCACAGACTGGAAGGCTGTTCTTAGAGCAGCAGAGCTGTTTTGTACCTCACAGTTAAAATCCTAAACATCCACTTACAGCAGAGGCTAAAAATCTGCCTCATTCTTCCAATCAGGACACTAGAATTCTTTGATCTCTTTTTCTATAATTTTTTAATAGTTGAAATACTGTTGGTTTGAACTATATAGTCCAGATAAGAAATTTTGTATCAAATATGCTCTGTATTCTTCCATCTGGAAACTGCATGGGAAAAAAAAAAAAAAAAAAAGAAAAAGTGTCTTTTCTTCTGTGACATCCACCCCAAAATCATAGGTTGTTATAGAGTCACAAATGCCAAAATTCTAGAGTCAAAATTCTAAAGCTTGAATGTTATTTATAACAATTTCTAAAAACCCAAATCCTTCATGTCTCCTTTAGGTCTTGATTGAACAGTATCTTTTCATGGACTTACACATAAGTCTACATTTAAGCTGTTTTGCAAATAAAAAAGTACCTTGACCAGCAGGAAATCGCTTTGCTGAACTAGTGCCTCTTCCCACTCTCATTGGTTTTTCTGGTTATCATTTGAGCTGTAAAAAATTTTGGTGGGATGATCTGCCCTTGGTTTCCTATAAGATACATTTTGAAACATTTACTCCCCGGTCTGAAGAAATCTAACGGAAATGTTCTCCCACACAGGTATCGACCTGCCGCATAAATGCAAACGCAATGTGAAAGAGCAGTTTATTGTCCACAACAACTGTAAGTCAGCTGCTCCAGTCCCAGTGCCCTTTTGTGAAGGGACATGCAGTACCTATTCTGTGTAAGTAGGAATCCTTTCTCTGTCCTCCCCCGTGCCTGCTCTTCCTGGGTCCTTGTCACCAGTGGGCTGCAGCTGTTTGTCCCCTTTCTGCTGTTTAAAAGAACCTCGTTGATGGAACCGGGTGTGCAGAACAGCGATCATTAGCAATGTGACTAAATGTCTTTAGTGTGACAGGACTGCCTTATCTTAGGTAGAAAAATAGGTCCCTTCGACAAGGCATCAGCTAAATTTATTAACTACCTGTTCTTAAACATGTCCTTATGTGGGTTTTGAACAGCTCTGGTGTTTAGTGGAGTTTTTTCCTGCTCTTTGGTCTCTGCATGAATTGTTCTTTTCTGCCTTGCCAGAATGGGCCTAATCAAAAATCCACTGAAGTTACTGGGATTTTCCCCATTGGTGTCAGATGATCTGGCCCTGCATGGCTAATAGCATCCCGAGCAAAGACTGTTATGGATAAGCAGAAAAATGAATAGGAAATTTTCCTCCTCTGCTCCTTAGAAGTTCCTCCACTTGGAGCAGCAAATACTGATCAGGTTGGGAAGACAACAGGCACCAGACTGATGTGCAAATCTCATTTCTATAGGTATTCCTTTGAGGCCAATGAAATGGAACACAAATGTATTTGCTGCCATGAAAAAAGGAGTCACGAAGTGAAGGTGGAACTGGTTTGCTCTGGGCATAAGAGAGTCCATTTCACATACGTGCATGTAGATGAATGTGCGTGTGTGGAAACAAAATGCTCAAAGAGGAGAACATGAGCATGAAAAAAAGGAAACATTTCAGCTCCCATTTAATGCTTCCATAGCAAGTGAGTAGTTTAGAAAGCAGCTGTGAGTAACTTTCAAATGACCATAGTTCTCTCTTGTGCTTTTTCCTTCTGGTATTATAAGCACTTATGGAAATTAGCTAAAGATTTTACTCTAAATGTTTGTAGAATAAACTGCATTTCAAAGAGGACTTGTTCTCCTGTTTCAGTGATGCTGCTAACAGGGCAAGGTGGTTAATGTCTTTAATCCCAAGGTGGTGTATAAACCAAGGTTATTACAAGAACTCTGGAGACAGATGATGCCTTTCAAAAGTCGTCCCTGAAGAAAATGCACATTGTAAAACCATAAGCACAGGCATTGCTTCATTTCCCTTAGAAGACAAACAGCAATCACTTCCACAGCTGCACTTCGGTCAGCAAGGTGCTTTTTTCCTTCTGCACATTGAGCACAACATCAGGAGTGTAAAAAACACATTTTACACATGCAGTACAAAATGATTATATTTGCACCCTTACTGTGAGCCCTTTCCTCACTGGTGGTTTTTAGTACTTGCCAACACCAAACCCTGAGCTGTATGTCAGGTGACTGATGTTCAGTCTCAGTGCTGGTTACATGACTATGATTTGTATTATAAATGATTGACTCCTAGCTAGCATCTCCAGTGGTACTGGTGATAGTATCTTATGTGGACAGGGATCAGAATGGTCCAACAATACCTTCAGAGTATGCAAGGAAGGCATTGCCTTGAGGAATTTGGTCTTTTGTAACCTGAAAGAGAACTGAGGACTGTGACTTAGAGTTCAGTGTCCTGCAGCCTGCTCTGTGTGAGCTTTTGGGAATTCTTTTGAAGGGAACACTTTTGAACTGACCAAATAGATATGAAGTGCATTAACCTTTAGCTTTCTCTTTTAAAACGCTGCAGGTACTGAGCCCCAAGTAATCTTTAATTTAATTCTTTTTCATAATAAATCATTTCAGCTGACATCAGATCACTTTCATGTGTACTGCTTCATTATGGTATCACTAATCTTAAAACGGTGGGAATCCTTGACTTTGAATAGACATAGGAGTTGAATGGTACATGTTTTTCTCCACTCTCACCTGAGAGTTCCATCTTTATTGGGTCATCACTGGGATGCAATAGGGCAGTCTGTGCTATACCTATGTGGGATTCAGCTCAGATTGTTCTAATTAACCCATTCTCCAGCCCCTTTCTGGAATGATTTGTCTCAGCCTAAGACTGGTGTAAGAGCCCTTGGGAAGATATCAGTTTCTCAGCACTGGGTATTTTGAGAGCCAGGGTAGCTGGTTTAGACAGCTGAAGTCAGAGGAGGTGAATGAATTTCATCCCTCGTTTTTATTCTGTTTCCTTATAAACAATAAAAGAGATGCTGGGTGTACCAAAGGATCACAGTGAGAACAGGTGCACTGCAGGTACCCTTGGGAAATATGGACAACAAAAGCCAACAAGGTGTTTGTGCTGAAGTAATGAATCACCGAATCATAGAATACCTCAAGGTGGAAGGGACCTATAAAGATCATCGAATTGAAGCTAAGGCTCCCATTCCCAGACTCTGCACTAGTGAGTAGACCAGTTTTCTTGATTATAAATGATAGGAATCTGTGTTAACTGTCGGTGCAATACAACTCCCTTGGAAGGCATGTGTTGCAATTGCTTGACAGTGAGTCTCATGTATAAAATTCACATTAGCCCAGAAAACATTCTTTCTGATACAAATCAAGTGCATGCATGCTTTTACAATGCAAAGAACAGCAACAAAAAAGGACATTCCTTTCTTTCCTCTTTGCCTTTCCCTGAGGGGGGAGAAATCATTCCTGCATGCTTTTGTCATCAGAAGAATAAACAGACAGACTCCGTAAGTAGTATCTACACACTCCTGTAAACCCTGCAAATCAATCATTCTCAGCAGGATGGCTTAGTAAGAACACGATCAGAATCCTTTCCCATCTCTGCATTAACTTCAGGTGGGAGAAGGGCATAAAACACAATCTCATTTTACCAGGCGTACTTAAGACTTCTTGTCTCCTGTATCTTTTAGTGATGATGAAACTGAGGATGACATCGACTTAAAGGAATACTTTCCTATTCAATTTTAGCATGCATTTTGCTTTTCAGGCGACTGAAATGCTGTAACTAAAGGCATATTCCCATCTCCAGATCGCTTTTGAACAGAGGATCACGTGAAACCTCAGGTGCTCCTCCATGCCCAGTTACTCCTGGAACTTCATTGACTCAGTCAGTCCAGCATCTAACTGGCCTGTGCAATACTATTTGCAGCTCCGACGGCCGGGTATTAAACTGAACTCACTGGTCCTCTGTTTGAAGGTGCAGAGTCCTGCTTAGCTGAGATGCAGGCAGCAAGGCAAAGCCTCTTTAATGAGAACTTTTAGCCTCCTCAGCTCCGTCAATGGGACAAACATTTCTCCCCCCCTCACACACACACAAATGCACAGAAACAAAAACCAGCCTGAAAGCTGCTCAATCTTGGGAAAGCGTTACACTGGGAGTAAATAGATACAATGACCCACTTGCGAGCTGGCCCTTCCCACCGCATGTCTCTGCCCCTGCATGCAGCAGCGCTGTTGCTTGCGCAGAGCGAGCTGGACTGCAGCTCAAGTCTGTGTGTCTGTCTTTAGGCTGTTGGCACACGCCGCCCCCAGGACTGGCAAGGTTAAACACAGGCAGCTCCCCCCGGGAAAGCTCCTCTGTAAAAGCTTGACTTGACCGTGATCCTGCAGCCGCTGCTGTGTGGTTTGAGTCTCACGTGTGTGCGGTCAAGCCCTCAGCTGCAGCCCCAGGCCATCTCTTCCAGTTAGTGACTAGTCTCTGCAAGTCAAACGTTCCTCCCTGGTGTAACTCAAGAAAAATCAGTGGCAATGCTCCAAGTACTGTTTCTTCCTCTTGCGTGAATTCTTTACACCAGCATCCACTTCAATGGGGTAACCCCAGGAGAACCAGCGTTCAGCTGAGCCAGTTGGGCCAGGGCTCAGCTGGTTTCAGCCTGTGGCCATTCTTTTCTTATCATGCAGGATGGTACTCCCACCCACTGAACACTTCTGAGGTAACACACCAGGAAGTACTGTCCCATATTGCAAAAATAAATATTTGCCAGAGATACTGCCTTGTGTCAGGTGAACAAGTCCTCAGACACTTTATCATTTCACCAGTGGGCTCTGAGTCTGACTCTGCCATTACGTGATGAACTCTGACTTGCCTATTGCTTTGTGGCTTGGAAAGGTCAGTTCCCATCACTACTTTGACGTAGTTTAGCTAAATTTTTTGTTTGGTTTTGTTACCAATTATTGGTGTTTGCAAAGAGGAAAAGACAATCAAGGGTGTGCTCTGTATTTTTATTTGGGGAGAGGCACTGTTCTTTTACAAACTTTTCCACTGAGCGGATCCCCTGGCTGTGGAATCGGAACTCTAGTGTTATCTACGGTGTGCTGTATCGATATCAATCTATTCTGGTATCTAGAATCTTGAGCTGAAAACAAAGACTGTGAACTGTAAATGCTCTCTAATACAGAAGGGATTGTTTAAAAGAATGCTGCACCTATTTTGTTTCAGCATACTGGTTTAACACTTAGAAAGGTACAATGTAAACACGAAAAAAATTGTCTAAATAAAACTCAGGAAAGCTATCTTGATTAAAATAATCTGGCAAATTTGATGGAACGTCTTTCACATAGAGGGGAGACCAAGCTCTGGGTGGTCTGAGAGCTGTGCCTGACTGTTCTACACATTCACGTGCTCAAATACATGTTCTTGGCCTTTGTTTCCTTTCTGATCTAGATAAGGGTGAAGGTGGGCCTTTGTTTCCTTTATGTGATTGTAAGATTTAAGTTCATAAAGCCTTTTTGCAATAGTGTATAACATGCTATTTGCAAACCCGAAGCGGCTAGACTCACTTTGTCAGGCATCCCAAACATCCTTTAGGAGAAAGAACTGTGACAATTTTTCCAAAGACACCAAGACAAAGATATCAGTTGTGAAAATCTTTCTGGTTTTTACACTTCAAAGGATCTGATTATTTAGTATCTTTAGGGCAACAATGGAGTCTCGGTTTACCTTGTACGAGGCCATTCTCACATCCATTTAATTCTTTAACAACCGTAATCCCTCTCCGGGGAAAGCTGCTCCATCGGCAGCGTGCCCGGGCAATTGGCTTTGTGTCAAAAGCAGGCCAGGGTTTGATCACGGAGCTATAGAGAGGTTGTAATTTCAATGCACTTTCCTCTAGGTGTGAAGACCTAGTTTTTATCAGTAAGGTTAATAGATAATCACTGGCTTTAATTTAGAGATTTTTTTTTTAATTCAAAGAAATCTGTCCAGTGCCTTCCTGTAACTGGTTGATGCCCCTGTTTCACTAAATCTTGCTTTTTGTGAAGGTCTGTTTTTAAAATAACCTCCTTGTTGGCAAGAAAATTATTTAACTACTACCCTCCAGAGGATCCTGTGCAGTGAGGTGACCCATTGATACAAGTGAGGAAATCAAGGAGGACTGGTTGGATAGGTTCTGGTTCATCCCATCTAGCTAAAAAAAAAAACCCATATGTATAAATTAGGACTTGAGTCACTGTAAACTTTCTTGCAGTTACTGAAAATTGCTATGTATCTTACTGAGAGCTCAGCTGTCTTCTGGAAATGTCCCAATCTCTCCCACTTTTGACTTTATAGGCAGTCGAAGGTAAGTACAGCCCTATCTTATCTAAATCTTTCAAAGGCAATGCAAGAAGTTGATCCCAAATGCCAATTTTATATATTTGTAACGGGAAGCACCAGCTATTTACTGCAAATTCCGACAACCCTATGTCCTGCCTCAACATCTCCCTCATCCTCAGGCCTTCCAGTGAAAGACACTTTCACTCTGATTTCTCATAAATATGATGCTAAGAACAGTTTAATTATTTTTGATAGGTTCTTTTGGCAAGGGCTTCTTCTCACTTGCTTTTAACATTTATAGTGGTCTTGTAAATTTTCCCTTTATTCCCTTTTGTTTTTTTAAATGTAGGCTTTAGTAACTGATCTCATTCTCAACCCTGACACAGAGTGAGTCATATTTTGACCTACAGCAACATCCCTTAGCGTGACTCCAGCAAATCAAAGGGAGATTAAAATTATTGTAGCAGGCAGGGAGTTTGCTGCCATTCCTATGTGTTTTATATG